GTTTCTTTCTTCATACTACATCCACCTTAATCTTTCTCACTGATTTACAAATATATTATTTGTTCGTAGCCGATTTTTTAATAAAATCAACTTATTTAACTTATTTGTTATATCTAATCTATTAAAATAGAGTCATTCTTTTTATCTACTGATACAAGTTGTCATTTAAATTTGGACATATTCTAAAATGTTACAAATAATATAAGTCATATAATTGATTGAACCGTATTACTTAAATTAAACCAACACAAATAATGTAAAGAGACGATCTTAATGTAAATTACCTTCAAAATATGGCAGATATCTATGTGTATACCAAAAACACATATTTTCTCCTACAAATATGGAATGTTCTAAAAGAATATATATCATCAAAATATGGAATATGAAAATCTACTAATCTTATATATTAAAACAGAAGTCATGACTTGACTTCATGTATGATTTTTTAAAAAATGGACTATTACTAGAAACTCATGTTACATCTAATAATCTTATCATTATTATATCTTATGAAAAATCATATCTATAATAACAAAGATACGCTTAACAATTGGTTTTGGTAAATTACCCCACACCTTCCAACTTAGTCACGCAAAATATGTCAATAGATATAAGTTTATGAATCTTCTATTATTTATAAGGAAATATGTCAATAATAGTTAAATGCATCCATAATATATTAACAAAAATCACAGATTCGTAATATGGAATATTTATATACCCTAACAAAATTTACACGTTATATATACTAGATAAATTTATTTCTATGTAAAATTTTAAAATTATATTTTTTTAAAAAAGAAATTGTTTCAAAAATTCCTTTTAATAAAATTCTTTATAATATTAATTTATGAGGTTATAAGTTTAGTTTTTAGCAAAAACTTCTTCGAAGTTTATATTATCTTTGCAAATTAAAATATATTAATATTTAATCAAGCTCTATTTATATTACTTTATCTAAAAATGAAATACTAATCTAACAAACAATAAACTATAGAAAAGGAAACAAACACATGTTTGAAAAATATGTATAATATATTTGATTAAAACACGTATTATATAATATTATTATGTTTGAAAATATTTACTATACATATTGTAAACATATGATTATTATAATATATACCAATTTACAAGTGAAAACAAAATGTTTATATAACTAACTATAAACGAAAACAAACACCGCACAAGTAATATGGAATATTTATATACCCTAACAAAATTTACACGTTATATATACTAGATAAATTTATTTCTATGTAAAATTTTAAAATTATATTGTTTAAAAAAATAAATTGTTTAAAAAATTCTTTATAATATTATTTATGAAGTTATAAGTTTAGTTTTTAGCAAAAACTTCTTCGAAGTTTATATTATCTTTGCAAATTAAAGTATATTAATATTTAATCAAGCTCTATTTATATTACTTTATCTAAAAATGAAATACTAATTTAACAAACTATAAACTATAGAAAAGGAAACAAACACATGTTTGAAAAATATGTATAATATATTTGATTAAAACACGTATTATATAATATTATTATGTTTGAAAATATTTACTATACATATTGTAAATATATGATTATTATAATATATATCAATTTACAAGTGAAAACAAAATGTTTATATAACTAACTATAAACGAAAACAAACATCCGCGCGGTTGCGCGGGTCAAAATCTAGTTATACTTAAATTAAATCAGTGGTTATTTATGGAATATAGTCTTGGGCTTACTTTTATTTTTTTAATAAATTATATAGTTTGGTTTTTGGGCTTAGTATTAAAAAAAAACTCTAAAAACATTGAATAAACTTTTCACCTTAAAAGATCAAAAAATCAATTATTATTTTCAGACCCAAAAGGTATTTAATATTTTTAACAAAACAAAATTATCTATTATTAATCATTTATTTAAATCATGTACTTTAAAACATGTTAATATATTTTATTATTTTAAATAACAATCACTTTGTTTTGATAAATTTCAATGGTAACTTTTAAATAATTTATTGTTTTATTTTTCTTAAATAATTTACAGATTAAAAAAATATAAAGCAAAACCAAAAACCAAAGCTAAAAACTAAAATCCAAAACCAAAAGTTAAAAACACATGTTATATTTTTTTGCTTTGTTTATTTACAAAATAAACTATTTCAATTTTTTTTTTTAAATTTGTTGTCATCTTTTCAGTTTTGAATTAGATGTTCGATTATTTGAGATTTGTTTGTTGGTAATATTAGTTCAAACTAACCCAGTATGTTTAAAAATTAACCCAAACCAAAAACTGAAAATGAAAAATAGAAACTTAAAAACTAAAAAACCAAAAAACAAAATCTAAAAATAAAAACTGAAACTAAAAACTAATGAAAAATAATCACCACCACAAATTTAGGTGAACTAATTTTATATTAAAATATTCTTTAAACTAAGACTAAACCCAATTATATAAATTTTTAATCATAAAAAATTTCCGCGCTTTCAAGCGCGTGTCAAAATCTAGTCTTATATATTAAAACAGAAGTCATGACTTGATTTTATGTGTGATTTTTCAAAAAATGGACTATTACTAGAAAGTCATGTTACATTAACTATTTAATAATTTTATCATTATTATATCTCAGAAAAATCATATCTATAATAACAAAGATACGCTTAGCAATTTGGTTTTGGTAAATTACCCCACACCTTCCAATTTAGTCACGCAAAATATGTCAATAGATATAAGTTTAGGAATCTTCTATTATTTATAAAGAAATATGTCAATAATAGTTAAATGCATCCACAATATATTAACAAAAATCACAGATTAGTAATATGGAATATTTATATACCCTAAAAAAATTTACACGCTATATATATTAGATAAATTTATTTCGATGTAAATTTTTAAAATTATATTGTTTAAAAAATAGAAATTGTTTAAAAATTATTTTAATAAAATTCTTTATAATATTAATTTATGAAACTATAACTTTAGTTTTTAGAAAAAATTCTTCGAAGTTTATATTCTCTTTACAAATTAAATTATACTAATATTTAATCAAGCTCTATTTATATTAATTTATTTAAAAAAGAAATACTAATCTAATAAACAATAAAATATAGAAGAAGAAACAAACACATGTTTGAAGAACATGTATAATATAAAAAATTTGAAATAATCTATTTGATTAAAACACTTATTATATAATATTATTATGTTTGAAAAATATTTACTATACCTATCGTAAATATGTGATTACTATAATATATATCAATTTACAAGTGAAAATAAAATGTTTATATAACTAACTATAAACGAAAACAAACACCCGCGCGGTTGTTTGAAATTGTTTACAAAATTTCCTTTTAATAAAATTCTTTATAATATTAATTTATGAAGCTATAAGTTTAGTTTTTAGCAAAAAATTCTTTGAAGTTTATATTATCTTTGCAAATTAAAGTATACTAATATTTAATCAAGCTCTATTTATATTACTTTATCTATTAATCTAACAAACAATAAAATGTAGAAGAAGAAACAAACACATGTTTTAGAAAATTAGAAACAATCTATTTGATTAAAACACGTATTATATAATATTATTATGTTTGAAAAACATTTACTATACATATCATAAATATGTGATTACTATAATATATACCAATCTACAAGTGAAAACAAAATGTTTATATAACTAACTATAAAAGAAAACAAACACCAGCGCAACCGCGCTAGTCAAAATCTAGTTTGGTTTGTTTTGATTACTATGGTCCATATAAACTTATATTGGTTCTTTAATAAATTTTAATGAAGGTTGATGGATTAATTGAATTTTAATAAGAAAATATTAATAATTTTAATTATCAAACACAATCATGACTATACTTTGTTATTTTTAAAAAAGAATATAACACTCTTTATGACTAAACTACACGCAAGTGTTTTTGGTTATAGCACAAGTGTTATTGATTATGGCAACATCACAAATTCTATTTATTTATCAAAACCTATAAATAATAATTTGAATAAATATAATCACAAACATATAATTTTTAGTGTTTCATACCTACAAAAAAAAAACAAAAACGCGAAGCTTTATTTTTACAAAAAAATTGGAAACGAATTTTATTTGAAGTTTTTTCCCTTTTTATGTAGGCATAATTGAAGAAACATGTACCAAACACATGAAAGTGAGAAACTAAAGAATCCAAAATCAGAAAATCTCAGGACAGCATTATTAGTATTACTCACAAGAGAGTTTTTAGTTTTGAAACAACACTACTATTATATTTGAAATAATCTATGATATTTCCGTGATCGAGCTATGAAACTTCACACTAAAGTGTACTCAACCAGTAGATATAAACTTAACACTAAGAAAGTCAATAAAACATAAAATTTTAATTTATTTACAGAAAATTATAACAAAAAAATAAAACAAACAGTATACCCGCGCTATAAAGCACGAGTCAATTTCTAGTATATAGTTCCATTTGGGTTCGCGGGGGTCCGAATCCTAGTTATCATAATAAAACAACAACCTACATTACAGACTACAATTAATAGACCAAAATCCCTTGGTTTACTTAAACTGATTTTCCAAGATTGAGATGATTTTCGACTTACATTTACATACGTTATCAAAAGCTTAGGAGTTTTGCAAAAGTTAAATTGGCATGTTCATCCAATAACCAAATTGAGGTTAGAACAAAGAACTGAATTTTAGTTGAACACAAGCTTGCGAGATTAGGGCAAAGGACACAATCTTGATAGATTACAAACATAATAATAAAAAAATGATACATCAAACATTTTAAGGGGATCACATTTTTGGAAAAAGAAGAAAAGAAACTGGAGATGAAAAACTGAACTCACTTCTTTGGTCTTCCAGACTCTCCTCAAGCTCTGAATCACAAGTGGTTCAAAACTGATGCACACACTCCAGTAAATAGGTAGAGAGAGAGAGAGGGAGAGGAGAAGCTGAAAATTTGGAAACACTATTGAATGATCCTAAGAGCTACTTCCCGTTCCCTGACAATGCGCTGGAATTAGACGCTGTCGCAGCTCTGTTGATGCTCCCGCTAGTTCTGTGCAGTCAACACACATGAAAACAAATCAATGAAACATAACGGAATGTAGTCTCAACCCATTTGAATTTGCATCTCTCCATTAAAAACCTTTACATATTCCTCACTGGCTAGAGTAATATGATATTTTGCACGGTAACGATTACTTCACAGTAAAGATAAATTCAGGGGCTGACCTTGGGGAGTGAAGTTAAACAATGGAGGCAGTACTCTTCCATTTGGCAGTGATACATTCGGGTCCCGCAAGTCATCGAAGAAAGGGTGTGCACAAGCTTCCAACTATACAAAATGGTTTGGTAGAATTTGAATTAGAAAACTCCAAATCAGCCAAGGAGGTTAGGTTTGATTTAAGTTATGTAGTTTTGTGGTGTCCAAAAGGATTTGGTCTTACTGCAGTGCAACGAAGGTTTGGTGAATACTGGAGGAGTCTTGAGACGAGGTCTACTGCTTCAGGTGGCATTCGCTTGTGGAAAATCTGCACAATTTTTTGTGCTACATTAGATATCATTTTCACCATGTACATACATTCACCTACGATTAGCCTACAAACCTTGTGCCACGGGTGAGCTTTTATTTGAGGAAACTTGAACTCTGTGTAATTGGGATTCATACACCGTATTTCCTCTCTCGTCGGCGTACCAAGAATCTGGTAGAAGTACAGATGAGTAAGATATAAAACAAAGAAATTTATAAAGAAAGGACGAAACACGAAGGATCATAACAAGTACCTTGATAATCTCCACCAGCTGATCAATGCCACTTTCCCCCGGAAACAGTGGCTACAGGAATAAAACCAACAAATTAAAATTAGATTGAATGTGATTTGAAAGTTACAAGGCAACTAATCAACCAATCATAACCCAAATTTATAATACTCACTTGGCCGAGTAAAAGCTCTGCCATAACACAACCACCAGACCACATGTCAATGGCATTGGTATACTCTGTTGCCCCGAATATAAGTTCAGGGGCCCTGTAGTACCGGGAGCATATATAGGATATGTTAGGTTCACCTGGCACCTGGAATACGCATCAAAGTGTTGGTCATCTTTACTCAAATGCCAACCTAACTCCAGAACACTTAAAACAAAAAAAAAAGAACATACCAACATCTTTGCGCTTCCAAAATCACATATTTTTAATTGATGGGTTTGGGAATTGACCTAAGAAAACACATGATAAGAGAATCAGGGGTTTATCCTTTCAAATCGTTTAGCCTTTGAGCGTTATTTAGAAAAGAACAGTCAAAAGAATTCACACTATACCAGTAGATTTTGTGGCTTTATGTCACGATGACACACCCCAACCACACGATGTAGGTAGTTGAGCGCACGGCAGATCTGGTATGACAAAAGCCACACATACATGAGTCAGTAAAAGATTTCCATGTAAATGAAGTTTCAAACAGGTAACAAGAACCGATCGACTGTCGACTCCAAATAAATCACCCACCTGATAGGTGTAGAGCTGAACTAAGATAACAGGCATATGCTGATTCATTTTGGTATAGTGCTTTAATGCTCGGTATACAGTCTCGGGAACAAACTCAAGGACAAGGTTAAGATAGAGCTCATCCTTGTCAGTTGTAGAAAAGAAAGAATGCCTCAGACGCACAACATTGGGATGGTCTTGCAAGCGCATAATCTGAAGTTCTCTGTTCTTGTATCTTTTATCCTGCAGAACCTTCTTAATTGCAACTTGTTCACCCGTTTCCAGACACTTGGCCTATCCAAAAAAGAAAAAGAAGACAAATCAAATCAAAATGTGTAAACGACAAAAAGTTAAAAAGGATTTAATAATTGCACATACCTGGAAGACAACTCCGAATGAGCCAGTTCCAACTACTCTCTGGGCCATGTATGAGATTGTCTGAAACCAAAGAATGAACAAAATAAAGTAAGGATGCCGCCAACAGAATAGATGATATCGATATGTGGAAAGAACAACTTAATTCACAAAAGAAAAGGCAATAAACACCTGCTTAGGCTTTCCGTCTCGACCTCCGATGGTGGTAGTAATAACTTGGCCCGTTTCAGTGCCACAGCCATTTACAATAGGTGGTTCCATGTCCTGTGAGCAAGATGCTTTATATGATGAGAATCTATATAACATAACTTGACAAAAAAAAAGAAACTAACTTTGTCCTCGTGGCGGTTGGCATTTGGTTCCTCTCTTAATCTCATTTGGTTCAGCTGATCATCAACTGTTGTCAGAGCAGGAGGAGGCGCATTGGAGGACGTTCCGGCAACACACACCACCATGTCTGTAGATTGAGAAACACTGTTTTGGTCAACCTGCATCGGATCATCACCACCACCAGAAGATGCGTTGTCGCTGTCTTGATCCAGCTTGGCTCTCTTAAGAATAGAGTCCACACCCTAAACAAACAAAAAAAAGATGATGAGAAAGTGGTCAGATCAACATCGAAATCAAAGAGCACATTAAATCATTTCAATCATTAATAACTTGAAATGAGCATTTTGGAGGATATAAATTGAAAAACTGCATACTTACAGGATCCGAAGAAATGGAGGTCCGACCCGAAGCAATGCTCTTAAGACGACGCATCACGTTCATCTTCGGTAAATTACAACCCCAAACCCTAAATCTCCCAACAAATATAAAATCTTTCACAACCACCACAGCTTCATTTCATGTGGAGAGAGAAAGAGGAGAGATGAAAAAGAAAAACGAATTAAACAGATTCAGATATTCAAAATTCGCATCTGGTCTTCCTCTTCTCCTCCACCGTGACGAGCAGAACACACAGCGATTCTTCAAATCGGGAAAAATCTGCCGTCCTCTCTCTCTCTCCACAACGCAACCAAACCAGGAGGGGGGGAATCTTTGCTTCTCTCTCTCTCTCTTTCGCTAATCATGCCAACCTCGTTCTCTCTCTCTCTCTACTCTTTTTTTTTTTTGGTCAAACATTGACTGCTCACCGTCGATTCATCGTAGCACCTCATCCGACGGGTTAGGATTAATCCGTCTGATTTCGACCACGTGTATTTACCGAACTACCCCTAGCTTGCTTTGTGTATCTACGGATGGATATGAATGATGACATCTAGGCACGCGGAATATGCGGGTGTCCATCATTTGACCAAATGCCTTGACTCCTCTCTCTCTCTTTCTTTCCTTTCCTCATTTTCCATCTTAATTATATCTTTTGTTACTGTCCTTCTTAGCCATATAATGTAAAAAAATTCTCTATTCAGAGCTCGAATAATTAAACTCTAAACATTACCCTAGGAGTCCGCATATTGGTTTGAATTGGATAAACACATATATGGGCTCCTGCACAATTTCAAGTTACATTTCTTTATATTATTATTAGATTTAAGAATTATATGTAAATAATATGATCACTTTAGGTACTAACATGTTATCTTCTTATTATATAAAGTAAGCTTTTCATCCCTCATGTAATACCACGTCATTAATTCGGTGAACCTGGGCATGCCACGTATCATCTTTTTCGTTTCATTAAAGCTATGTCAATAGAGATGGATTTCGTCCTTCGGCTTTTGGCGAATTTAATACAATCCGTTATCCAGCAGCCCTAATGCTTTATGAGCGCTTCCGTTCTTCCCATTCTTCGATCTCCTCCATTCAGGAAACTAATGCTTAAGTCGGCATGACGTTCCGTTCGTAGGGGTTTCAATGGTGTCCTTGACATTCTTTCCATCCATCAAACGAAACTATTTCCAGATCCATTGAATTAAACATCTTCTTCCGAGAGGCGGTGTTTCGATGGATATTAAAAGGTATGTTTTCCTCCTCTCAAAGTCGTCGTCAGAGTTCTGCTTTTTTTCTCTCTCCTTGGGGGTTTCCTCTGAGATTCTAAGTTCCCGATGTTGTTGCTCTGAATTGTTACCATTTATGTATGGCCGTGTTGGGCCATTCCAGGAAGCAATAGGTCTTGAATCGCTTCGGCCGCAGCAATTTCGGCAAGTAACAATGCTAACTCCAGAGAACGTCGATGGTTTCATGTCGTTGCTTGAGATTCCACCTACCCAAGCAGTAGAGCTTCTCCATTTCACTGATTCGCGGTCATTGTATTTTCAAACACTGGCCGTTACCGGAATCGGTTTAATATTTCTCCACCGCCGCTTCACTCGGGCATTGACTTTTCCTTCTAACTCAGCCCTCTTGGAACGCTTCTCGGTCTCGCAAGAGAAAATAACTCGACAAGAAGGGTGATACAAGTTATGTTTTGTTGGATTCTTGAAGAGTTTTCTTTGCGTAGCTACCATGCAATTGGAGAACCATGTTTTATGGCGACGTTAGTACATCACTTGGGGGAGGTAAAGAAAACTGAAACTGGTGTTTTGATGTTAGCTTTTTGCAGTAGCTTGGTTGAGTTGGATTCTAGAGGATGCAAGAACTTGACAGATTTGGTGTTGGTTTCTCTGAACAGAATCTGTGTGAAGTTGAGGAATCTAGACATTGCAAGTTGTCGATTGATTGTGGCTGATGAATTGGAGGCTTTGTTATGAAGTCACAATGCTTGAAGAAGATTGTAGTCGCAGCTGCCATTAAATGAGCTTCTGGGAAGCTTATTGAAGTTGTTCTTGATTCAGATGTTCTTTGGTAGTTACTTGGATAGTGTTTGAAAAAGAAACTTATGCAACACATGACTAGAACTCTATGTGAAGTATATAAGTCATTAAGTGTAAATTACACTATCCTTGGTTTTTAATTTGTTTAGCTATACTTTGTTTCAGTTTTCCCCTTCACATAAACTACAACATTTATAAGACTTGGTCATCTTAATTATAAACAGCTTCAGCTAAGTGCGTATTTTGAAACGATGGTCAAAGTTATACGTTCATTATAACATAATCAAGAATTGATGCTTCTTTGACGGGTAATTGAAAGCTCAAACTTAGGCCCTGTTACATAAAAATTGAAGTCACCAACAACATTAAAACACAGACTGTAAAACTAAGATAAAAATTAATAAGAATTTAGAGAAGACACGTGGTCAACGGGTTTAAGAATGGGTGAAAGAAACGAAGTCTTGCTTGGCTTAGGGGCCTAAGGAAAAAATAGAGAACATTTAATAATTTTATAAACCTATAAATAAAATTTATTCTGTTCATGTTTAATTATAAATATTTTCTATAAGAGCATCAAATAGTGTTATATAAAAATACTTATATTTTTCCTTTGAAACTATATATTAGTTTAAAAATATTAAAAATACAAATAATGATTTATGGTGAGTTATTTATATGAATGATTAATTTTAATATGAACTGAAGAATTAGAAATTTCTATATCGATAAGAAATAAAAAAAACTTAAATATATTATAAAACTATAGTAACAAAAAAATATATATATATAAAAAAATTTTAAAACAATAAAAATAATATCATAAGAAATATTAACTTAGAATATCCCCTATATCTTTATGGAAATTAAACTAAATATGCCTCAGATTACAAAATCACAAATAGCAAAGTGATCAATTAAAATGATAAGAGTGGGGACCTAAATAAACGATGTCTCACGTGCATAACTGATAAAATCATTATATTGCGGAATACAAGAGTATTTTCAAAACGACGATGGCATAACTTATCTCTTAGCAATCGGTTTGTATGACAAAGCTATTTACCAATATAGTATGTAATGTATGGGAAAGTCCAAGGTTGGTCGCCCAATGTTGGTTAAACTTGGATGAAAACTAAACAAACAAAGTTGACAATTCCTATAAGCGCAACAAGAAATCACTCCATAAAGTTAGAATATTTAGGCTTGAAGGTTACATGGTAAATTTTAGGAAAATCAGAGCAACAATCACATGTCACCACTATAACTTTGAAAACCGGTGTGACATTCCTTCTACTATAAGAAAATGATAAATTTTGTTTCCATAACTAAGCAAAATATGTTAGCTAATTGTCTTGGAGTACTATTTAGAAACTCATAACTAATACAAAATTATTTCAACTCCTTTAACAATTACATAAAAACAGTTATCAAGTTTAGAACATAATTAAAAAAAATAGTTAACAAAATTGTACGAAAGTAAAAAACTCGCATTCCAGTTTTACATAAAAGTAAACAATGATATGCCCACATTCTCCATAACGCATATATGAAACTATAACATTTTCAAAAGAATTATGCAACATAGATACGGGTCAAAACTAAAGAATAATACAACCCAATACACTTACAAACAAACTTTAATATTTTCGACAAAATATTAGTACATTTATATAAAATATGTTTATTATAACTTTCCGCCCGTAGGACGGACCAATCCTAGTAAACTATATAAACATCAAAGATTAATAAATTATCTACGTTAAAAAAATAATCCACCAATCAGCATTTTTCATTTGTCCACGTCAGCAGCGTACAATTACAATTGGACCGAAACATGTTGGGTTTAACCTAATCGATGTGCCCTACACTAAGTCAAATCCAAACTTTCATAAATCGCCGAACGCATCATCTTCTTCGAGTTTCATCTTCTTCCAAGCTCTGTTACCAGTCCTCTACAATCAATCAATCCTTAGCTAGCTTGCTACAAACCAAAACCCTAAAACCTGTTCTAAGTAAGCTCAACCCATGAGTTCCCACTCTGCAAAATTCTGAAACCGAAACTCCTCCACTCCTTCCCAACCGTCCTCAAACGGGATCTTCACTTGGAAGGTGAAACGCTGACTCTCGCTTCTGTGTGGTGACCCTCGCTCCCCGTAGCTCGCCGAATCCACCACTTCTCATCACGACCTTAAAGAGAAAGAAAACATCCTTCTAGACTTGCACCTAACTAACATGTCATGTTGTTTAATCTAACAAAGTCAACGAGAAATCTAAGAACTCCGTCTCACGATTCAATATCCAGTTCTAATATGAACGGATTTGGAGCATTTCTCATAGATCTGGAACTTCCTCTCAATCGATTTCTACAAATATTTGATTTCATTTTAGAAAATATTGATGTACAATCTATAAATATGTTAGATTCTTGTCGTGAATTTCATCAGTTCCTCTCCCTCAATCATTGCAAACAATCTCTCTCTTTCGATGGTTTAGTTTCCCTTCTACTTTGCTAAGGTGATTCATTTATTTCTACATGGTTGAGGCTGATGATCTGAAAATTGATGTGAAGAGCACTAAGAAGCTTTTTTGTATGTTTTCTTCTTTTGTTTGGATCATTTATTTTATTTTTTTTGCATATGCGTGTTGAGAGTCGTTATTGTGTTCTTTAGTATGCTTAGTAATCGTGGGATCTGAGTTGCAAGTTATCAACAGTTCTGAGAAAGCTATTACTCTTTAAGTGGATGAACTTGTGGCTAAAATCCTTTTCTATTGTCTTTCTATTATTTATGGTCTTTCCATTGTTTGTAAAATGAGATGATATTATATGTATAATCAATGGTTTAATGAGTTTTTTTTTATCTTTGTTGATGTTTTTCACTTTTCATGTTTGATGTTTTCATGCAGTGAAGAAAGGAGACGCTATCTTTGTATAGTAATACCTATTCACTTGTACTAAAACAACTTCAGTTTGGCTTGAGGTAAAATAAAATAGAAGCTTATGAATGGTCTCTATGTTGAAGTCTTAGATAATTGAATTTGTATTTGTTAAAAAAAAAAACAAAAAGAGTTGATACGAGTTTTCAAAGATGCTCTTCTTCCCCTGTTCTTCTCATTCTTCTCTAGGTTTGTTTTCTTGATTATAAATAAACTAATGGTTCAGTGGTCGAAGCAATTCCATGACCACATCGAATTTTGTCATGAACACAGTCTTGGAGATGGAGAACGAAGAAATTTCTTAGATCACAAATCGTCCTGATATTCATCTGGAGATGGGAAAAGTATGGTCTTAATGAATTAATAGAAAAATTATATCAGTTGTGTTTTATAAGGCATAGATTTGAATCGCAGACAACATCACAACAATTATTCAGTGTAGTATCCAACAAAAACTATCTTAAGCTGCAACTTCTTCATCCTTCAAAGGGATTAGCGGTTGATGAGCTCTTCATATTTTGTTCAATGTTCAGATCATGATTCGGGAGGGTGATGAAGCTGCGACTCATGAGGATGAGAGGGTTGGTAGGAAGCCCGAGGTAGAGTGGAAAACAGAACCAGAGCTGGATTTTGAAAAATAGAAGGAGAAGGAGGAGGAGAAGCAGAAGCAGAAGCAGAAGCATAAAGCTTTGAAGGTGAAAGAGATGATTAATAGTGTTGTGTACAAGGAGAGATAGATACAGAAACAAGAAGAGGTGAAGCGTTTAAGAGCATCTTTAACCGGGGTGCTTACCCTCGGTTCCCGCACCAATGCCCAAAAAAAATCAAGCACCCTTGCTTATATTGCCTCCATAAGCACCTTATTTTCTGTGTTGCTTGACCTGTTTTGCGGGCCCCACGACACATGGCGGTCCACGATTGGTTCTTTTCTTTTCTTTTTAAAAAAAAAAATCTGAAAAAGCAAAAAAAAAAATAATTAAGCACCCCCTAATGGGGTGCTGGGTTGATAATGCTCTAAAGAGAGAGGCTGCTGAGGCAGAGAGGAAGCGTATAGAAGCTGCAGAGAGAGAAGCTGCTCAACTTAGAATGGGTCAAGAGAGAGAGCAATTCCTCTTGTTTTGTTGTTTTAAAATTATATGATTTTTAGACCGGACTGTGAATATATACTAGACACACATTTTTATTTTGAGTTTGCACTTAAATTCGATAACAACTTTATATACTAAATTTGAACACTAACCTGTGAATAGAGTTTTCCGACGATTTTTTTCAAAAGATTGATTCTTAGATATGTATCTGTGGTGGAACTAATTTTTACATATGTCCATCTATTTAAATTGACACTTATGTAATTTGCCGAATTTAAGAAGAAGTTAAAAAGAAAAACAAAACTCATATCAATGAAATAGAGACGCGAATGAAAGCACAATTTTACAGAGGTAAAATTAAATTACTTATGAAGAGTTTATAGTAAACATGTCGAGAGCAGAAAACCTAATCCTCTTTTATCATTTTATCGCAAAACCTAATTTCTTTTTGTGTTTATGAAGACTAAGAAAATAATTAAAGTGAGTTATAAATTAGGTCTAGGGCTTTTACCCTAAGGCAAAGTACATACTTAAACCTGAACCGCAAAAACCGAATCCGACTCGTTATACAAAAATATCTGAACTGGACTTATGAACTTGGTACTTTGGGTTTTGGTTA